AAAAAGAGAATTGCTATTTTCACCATGGCTTTTTGCTATTTTCACCATAGTTACACAAAATATTCTATTTTTAATTTTTATAACAATAATATATAAACCCTTTAAAATTTAATAAATATTTCTTTTATTAATCCTAACTATAAAATCTAATAAATAAAGATTTTTTGGACTTTTAATTAAAGTTGTAGAGTTTGTTTTTCTGATTTTAATGATAATTAAATTATTAAAATCAGCCTAGTAGATTCCAAGATATTGGAGATAGCAAAAAGATCTACAAATTGCTAGTTGCACAAAGTACTATTGTCAATTGATAGTATTTTATAGATCTTTTTGCTCTCATCTTTGATTTCCAATATCTTGGGATCTACTAAGCCAATTTTGATAATTTAATTATTATTAGAATTAAAAAAACAAGCTCTACAACTTTAATTAGAAGTCTAAAAAATCTTTACTTATTAGATTTTAGGGTTAGAATTAATAAAAGAAATTTTAGAAGGTTTACATATATTATTGTTATAAAAACTAAAAATAAAAAATCTCGTATAACCATAATGAAAAAGCAAAAAGCTATAGTGAAAATAGCAATTTCTTCAAAACAAATTAAAAAATAAAATAAAAATAAAATATTAAACTGTTTTTATTTAATTATATTAAACTAATTGCTTGATATATAAATTGTTTGAAAAAATAGCTAGTATATAAAATAAATTAATTTTTTGAACACTAGTCTTTGTTAGTAAATTTGATAACTTTGGTAATCTATATATAAAATTTGTATATTAGTTTTTATTACAAAACATAAATTTGATTAATTAGTACTATATATCAGAAGCTTTACTGTAATATATTTTAAAAATATATATTGAAATCAAGAATTAGAATTTTATTTATTAATTTATATATATGTTAAAAGCCTACAATTTATATAATATTTATATTATTTACTAAAGTTTTACTAGGCCTATTGGGCCTAATTAGATATAAATATAAAGTTTAAACCTAGTCTAGTATTTAGTAAACCCAATCTATATCTAGTTTACAAAATTATAAATTTAAAAATTTGTGTCTAATTTAAGCTCAAGCCCAGCTTAGCTTATAAATTTCGGATTTGGCTTATCTTTTTTTGTATTATAATATCAAGTAACCTTATTACTTAGTTGTATTGTATCAAGAAGATTGCAATTCTATAGTATTATCTATTAATTATCAATTTTATTAAAGATTCTAACAAAATTTTGCAATCATATAATATTATCAAAAATTTTTTAAATTAGAATAAGGTTTATATTTTAACAAAATTTTTTTTTTTTAATTATTCTTGATGTTTTTACAATTATTATGGGGCATGTGTGGTACTCTTTTTTATTAAGTGCTATTTATAGCAGTATTAATTATATATTAAAATAATTCTAAACTAAATATTTATATTTTTTTTATAAATAGACTTCATAAAGTATTTGTTATGAATCAGCATAATCTCTTTAAAGATTCTATTCTTTGCAATCATAAAATGTACTAAATCTGAGTATCATATATTACCCTATTTGTAAGTTGCATAACAGCACTAGATTTTATATATAATATATGTGTATAGCTATAGAATAGTTCTATATGTTTTTGTTTTTTCAGTAACATTTTTTAAAAAAAATTTTCTATCGCATCAGGTATTAGTTCTGTTTGATTTGTTTTTAAGAATTTGTATACTTCTGTCCAAATCAGTTTGCTAATTCTGCACTTTGTAGTGAAGTGCTCAATCATTTGTATTTATTTAAGACACTATAGACATTCTTCTGAATTTGTTGATACAAAGTGTTAAAGTCTGTATCCTAATGATAGAGCTTTATGAAATAATCACCAAAGTATGTCTTTTTTTTTGTTTAGTATTGCTTTCTAGAGAATCCAGTTCTGGTCTTGTAAATGCATTATAGGTTCTATTTGATTTACTGATTTAAAGCTAAGTTTTTTTAAAAGTTCTACTATGAATTTAACTAATGTTTCAGTAACTTTTTTTCTGTCTATTTTCACTTCTGTTAAACTTTATGACCATTTCGATTCTGATAGTATTTTTCCTTTTATTTTTTTTCAAGCCAGAAGATAGAGTTTTTATTCTGTAGGCCAAGCTTTTAATCTAATAAGCTGTATAAAGAGTGTCTTTTGTACTAAAATATCTCTTTTTTGAATAAGCAGAAAAGATATTCTGTTTTTTTCTACTTTTGCTTATAGGAGGTTGTTTGAAATTAGTTTGGTCCAAACTGATAGTAATCTAGCCTCTAGTAAGTTGCCAATTATTGGAGCTTGTAGGCCACCTTGTTTGTAAGATTGTTGAAAAGTAGAGTAACTTGGTAGCATTTTAGAGTTGTCTTTGATTCAAAATATAATAAGTCTGTTGATTTTTGCAATTTGTTTTCTATTTGGTAGTGTTAGATATGCAATATATTATACTTTTAATAGAAGTAAAAAATTTGCAAGCATAATTCTTCTTTTAAGTAACAGGTTTCTGTATATAAGCCTTTCTAAGCTTAGTTTAAGTTTGTTTATGGCTTCTTGTTACAGACTTTTTTAATATACTATTGGCAGTAATGTTATAGTCTAAAACTGTAATATTATCTTATTTTTTAAGTTTTTTAAAGCAGGTTTTTTCTGGAAGTTTTATACTTCTAGCTGTATTTGTAAGAGGCATTAGGTTTGTTTTAAGTTTGTTGATTCTTAAATTAGAAGCTTTTTCATATTTGCTAAAAAGATCTAAGATTGTTGTTCAGTCTGAGTGTAAGCTAATTTCAATTATAAGGTTATCTGCATATGCTGTACATTTGAAAGATTAATTACCAATTTTGATTCCTATTAATTTGTTGTCTAACATGTTTAGCAGAGGTTCAAATGCAAGTACATATAGTAGAGATAAGAAAGGGTTATCTTGCCTAACCTCACTTTCTACTCTAAAGAAGTCTAAGATATGTTCAGAGTCTAAAATATAGACTTCTTGTTAATTGAATAGATTTTTTATTAGGTTTCTAAATTTTTCAGTAAAGTTTATATTTTTGAGAACTATTTGTAAGAATTCATGGCTTATTCTGTCAAATGCTTTTTGTTGATCAACAAAAAGTATCTAGAATTCTTTAGATTCATCATTTTGGTTTTTCAAAATTGTAAGTATATTCAAAGCTGAGTTTGTAATTAGTCTGTTTGTAATAAATTCTTGCTAATGTAATAGTACTATTTTACTGCATATTATGTTTAGTCTGTTAGCAACAATTTTTATAAAAATTTTTGCATCACAGTTAACTAGTGATATAGATCTTTAATTGTTTATATTGTGAAGTTCTTTGAATTTCTTTAGTATTAATGTAATTAAGTTTTTATACTATAAAAATAGCAATATTTCTAAGTCTAAAACCTGATTAAAGATTTGTTCTAGAACAGGTATAATATGTTCTTCAGTCAATTTATAAAACTCATAAGTAAGGCTGTCTAACCCTAGAAACTTGTTATTAGATAGTTTTTTGATTACTTCTGAGATTTCTTTTTAAGAGATAGGTTTTACTAGTTTGCTATTCATTTGATCAGAGGTCTGTAGAAGATTTTTAGTAATTTGTTTTGCTATTGTATTGTCAATTTTCTTTTTACTATTTATTTTTGTATATTGTTTTTTAATGTAGTTGGGTATTTTTTTTTCATTATGTTGTTCTTGAGTAGAAGATATCTGTATTTCTGCTAAAGCTGCATATGACTTTCTAGCTTTAAAGTGAGCATAAAAGTATTTAGTAGATTTTTCTCCTAATTTTATTCAGTTTGCTTTTGAATATTGTTGTTATCTATTTGCTAGCTCCATTAATTTAAACTGAATTTGTGAATTGAGTGTATCTAATATAGTAAAAAGATGAGTCTAGTTAGGGTTTTTGGCTATGACTTCTTTTGTTTGACTAACTTTTTTGTTTAGTCTTTTTATTTTATCTTTTGGTGCCTTAGGCTTTTTAAAAGCTTTTATAATAGATTTTATATAAACTTTATGCATATCCTAGTTTGTTGCAGAAGTAGCTTCTTGAATTTCATCCAAGATCTCTTTTTTTAAAACATTGTTTTTAAAAGAGTTTATATCAAATCTCCAAAGAGCTAAGTGTCTAGGTTCTTGTTTTAAACTTATAATACATTCAACTAATAGATGATCTGAATTTTCAAATCCTGTTTTTGTTTCTGAGTTTAGATGACTATAGTTCTTATCTATAAAAATGTAGTCTAATCAAGTAGCTATTATTTGATTGTTATGTATTTTTTGATAAAAAGTATAAAAGAGATTCTGAGATGTAAAGAATGCAAAATCTATGAAATCCTTTACAATATCCTTAAGAAGTAATTTTGAAGGATCATTTTAAGCACTTGCTTGACTCATTCTGTTAACTTCTAAGTCTAAATTTGTGTTTAGATCTTCTGCCAGAATGTTAATCATGTTATCTTTTTTTTTGATTACCTAGTTGTCAAAAAAGAAGATTCTATCCAAGATGTTTAATAAAATGTAAACATTAATTATATGAAAAAAAAACTTCTTAAAAGTAAAATAGATGAAAATTATTCTGTCTTGTGATATCTTGGTTTCTTTGAATTTTATTTTTTTGTTTCCTGCTAGAATTGCTATTTTGGCTATTCAGACTAAATAAAAAGACTATTGATTTTTTAAAAATTGTTAAGTTGTGTTGTTGAATATATTTATTTCTTGTAAAAGAATAATATCTAGTCTATAAGATTTTAAAAGTGTCAAAGTTTTATGTTGTTTGTCTATATTATTTAACTCTTTAATATTTAGGGTAGCTATCTTGATTGATGTATTGTTCATGATAAAACTAGTAAGTTTTAGAGCCATTTCATGCTCTTTGTCCTAGTTTCTCTTGTTGGTTTTCTTTGTTAGAAGTTTTATAGGGCTTTGATTCTTTGTACCTTCTTTTTTTACATATAACTAAAATAAAGGATGTGTTTTCTGTATTTTCTTAATATTTAGTTTAAAGGTTTCAAGAGTTTGCAATTGTTTCTTTTAAAATCATGTTTACTGTAAAGTCATTTATATTTTTTTCTTCTAAAGGTAAAGTTTCTGTATTAATAACTATATTGTTTTTTTGCATTTCTTTCTTTAAGGGAGTTGTTTGTTCTTGAGAGGATTCTGGTTCTATATCAGTATTTTGTACTGTTTCTTGTATTGCAGAAGTTTCCTTATTGAGGTTTCTAGTATGTTCCAATAAGTTCTCACTGTGAATTTCTATTTGAGCCTTCTGTTTTTATATTTTTGATAGTGTTTTCTTAGATTTTTTGCTTCTTAAAACTGTACACAGTTTTTTTTAATATGGCCAGTTTGATCACAGAAGTAATATATTTTAGAAGCTTCTTTCCATTCTGTAGTTATTTTGTTGTTCTCTACATAGGTAAAGTGAGAAATTCTTTTTTCAAGTTCTAGGTTATTTGTGTTATTAAAGATAACTATCTATTAGTCTGTTAGATATAGTATACTTTTAATAAGCAGTAGTTTAATAGATACGATCTTTCTAAAGTCTTGAAAAGCCTCTTTAACCTGGTTAAAAATATGTTCTTTCACACCTAGAGGCACATTTCTAACCTTGACTAGCAAAAAGGATTTGTGTGTATTTGTAGAAATATATCTATAGTATGTTTCTTTAAAAATTTTAATTCCATTAGTTGCATAATGCATTAAGTAATCCTGGTTTGGAAAAACAATTTTAAGATGAGTTCTTAAGCCTTTCTTAAAGTGTTGCTTGGCTGCAACTATGTCTTCTTCCATGTCCTCATGTAAAGAAACTATAATTTCATTAAGAAAGTTGTGAAGCCCTGCAATTTCAACAATCAATGCATTGTTGTTTTTGGATCTAATTTGATTCCTAAAAGAAAATACAACAAAGGTTGATTTTCCTTATTTCAGCTTAGCAGACAAGCTCGTAGCTTGCTTAGTGATTGATGCATAGCTTTGTGTAGTCTTGCATGCTAGTTAATTATCTGCAATGTTGTTGTTGTTATGTTTTTTATTTAACACATAACTGTTTCTATTGTTGTTTTCTTTTTTGTTATTTATTTCTTTTATGATATTGTATATGTTTTCTTAAGCCCAAGAGTTGTTTTCATTTTGGTTAATATTCTTTAGCCAGTCTTCTTTGTTTTGAATTACTACTACTAGACCTAAATTTTCTTCTATTGCTAATATTTTTTCTTGTGCTATAGCCATATTGTCAAGTTTTGCTTTATTTTCTTTTTCTGTAAATAAGTTGTTAGTTTCTTTTTCTTCTTTTTTTTTGTTAAGTTTTCTCATTTTAAAGATTTTTTCAGTTACTAAAGGTTCTACTAGTTGAGAAATCTTTCTTTTTCTTGAAACAAGTTCTTTAGCTCTTGATAGTATCTTATTTTTAGAGTTTAGATTTCTATTTGATAATTTTATGATTACGATTTTTTATTTGTCTTTCCTAATTAGTAATGAACAGAAAAGAGTTTTTTTTTATTTTAACAAAATTTTAATAACAAAATTATTTAAAAAAATCTTTTTGTTAAAAAATAAATAATTTTTACAAAATAAATATTTTCTGATTATATTATATTATACCAAATTATAATTAGTAATTAGATCTTTTGTTAATTATTATATGATTGTACATTTTGATGCTAATTCTAATTATTGATCTTTCTAATATCATAATTATATAAATTTTACTATCATATAACAATTAAATTGCATATAAAAATCTGTTTATTTAATTAAGATTAGTACTTATAATAAAGTTATACAACAATAAAACATATAGCTTTGATTTTTTTAATTATATAATATTATATTAGAATAAAACTTATTATTAGATAAGTTATACAATTAACTCTTTTCAATAATTACTAAACCAAAACAGTTGAAGAGTTATATTTTTAAGTAGATAAAATCTTTGATTCTGTTCTAATATATAAAGCAGATTGTTGCTAATAAACTAGAAGTACATAAAAAAACTGAAATGCAAGTGACTCTTCTGGTAGTTTGTATTAAGGTCAAATCTTTCTGTAGCCAGATTTCTCAACATATTTAGTATTCAAACCAAAAAGAAATTCTGGAAACAATAGAGAAAACTTTGGTTAAAAGTTATTAAAAGCTTAAAAACAAAACAAATAGCTGGAAATACTTTTTTTAGTTTAGCTCTTTGTATATTATACTTATTGATCTTTTTTATTTATTTCATTTTTTTTATCTAAAAATAGAAAATTTGGTTTCCTCTTTACAAAAAATTGGCATTGTATACTACTTCCTTTTTTGAACAATTACATATTATAACATAATGTAATAAGAATACAGCAATCGCATGTATAGTCTAATATATAATGTAATAAAGAAATGAAGAAGAATTTAAGTTAAAGAATTATAGTAAATTAGAGATATATAGTAATTCCTAAAATCATGTATATAGAATTTTTACCCCTTTAGTATAGGTTAAAGTATAGTTAGATTCTTAGTACAGGTTTAAAGTATTAGTGATCTTACTAAAATGGTTATAAATAAGGTGTGTCTTTTAATACTTTTATTTATTTATTTATTTATTTTTAATATTAAACTAGTTTTTTTTGAAACTAGAGCTTTATTTAGTCTATTAGAACATAGAGACTCAAGGCTGAAGTCTCAAAGAAGTCATCTTATATTAGAGAATACAACTAGCCTTTGGTGTTTAATTTAAGTAGTTTATTAATAGTTCTATACTAGCTGCTATATCTGCAATCCAACTAGAAGCATTGCCTATTTAAACCCTCTTTACTGCAATTCTTACTGTGTCACTAGATTATCTCTAATACAGACATTAGTTAAGAAGGTTTAAATACTTTTACCTATTATCCTAGAACCCTATATCTTATTTCATACAGTATATTCTCAAAAGCATCATTACTAGAGTTTTTCATATCTTACATATAGCTAACTTAGTTTTATGTAATATGCTATAGTCATCTAACATTTGTAGTTACAGAGATTACCTGTTTAACTGCTACATTATACTATTTTTATCTTTATAAAGTTTATCCAAACCCTAGTACCTATCTTTCTGACTTCTTCTTTTCATTTTTCTACTATCTAACTTAGAATCTGACAAACTTTTCAGACTCCCAATTCAAATAGCCTAATGTGATATATCTTAGTATTCTTTTTCTTCAATGATTTTGGTAGTCTGGTTGGTCATATGCTCCTCTACATATATTTTTATCTAGTTACATCTGCCTATTCCTTATTGGGGTTTCCTAAGCTTCCATCATTCTGATAGCATCATCAAAGGCTTGTGTGACCTCTTTACTTAGAAATTTCCAAGTAGGTTTTTATTTTCTTAGTTTCTTGGTCTTCTACATTTGGTAATCTTATTATCAAAGTCTTATATAACACCAGTTATTAATATTCTTCTATGTATATATAATATTACATTTTATATAGATGCCTCAGGCTCTCAATGATGAGTAGAACCTAATTGGTTGTACTCAAAATTACAAATACATAAATCCAACTGATCAACAAAAGACAGTTTATCATAATACAGGTTAATTATTAAATTTTATTGTAGATGGGATTTGAACCTTAAACCTGCCATTTGGAGAATGACAATCTAACTACTACACTAGAATCACTATTCTTATTTTTTTTTTTCTTTTTATAATCTTTGTTAGTTTAGTTTAGTGTTTTTTTTTTTTCTTTCACTTTTCTATGAGAAAGTATTATTAATTTGGTAATACCTTATTGTAAGATAATGGTCAAGAATAACCTTCTAAGTGGTAACTTGTTACTGCCTGCTGCAGTAAATCACTTCTGAGCACTCAAAAAAGTAGTCAAAAAAGTTGAAACTAAAAAATTAAGCCTATAGTATTAGTAGCAGTATTAATCTTTTCTAAATTAAAGTATATTAGCATGACTACTTAAGTGAAAAAAAAATTGGATAAGTTATATAAATTATTATATAATAGTGAAATTTTAATAATGATGCAGAAAAAAGAATATATAATAACATATTTGGCATATCACAGTTAATTTTGTATAATTAATAAGCATAATCTGCATATAAAATAATGAAATTAGAACAAAATAAATATAACATAATTTTTATTAAAAATTGTATTAGTATTAAATAAATTCAGAAATGTAAACATAAGCACTATAATGAGTTATATATATTTTTTAATTGAGTTTAAGAGTAGAGAAAACATAGATCATTTGTTATATGATTTTTCTAGCAAATAAAAATTTATATATAAAAAAAATATAGATTATTAATAAAACTTTTTAGTATAATGCTAAAAGCCTATATTCAACAATTATATAAAGTGTTTTAATTTTTTAAATGATTATAATTTTTTATCTAAGAGGTTTTAAAAAAATCTATTTGTAACTTTATAAAACTATATCAGCTCTATATATGTGTCAAATATCTTATTACTATAAAGAGTTGGTGTGTTTTAAAAATTGAAATTTTATATATAAATTTATAAATTTATATATAAAATTTTAATTTTCAAAAAGCATTAACTTTTTACAGTGATAAGATTTTGAAAAGATATTTGACATATATATAAAATAGTTACAATATGATTCTCCAAAAACTACTTACTCTAAAGTCTATTTACCTAACATCATATAAGGTAAAAATTTACTAATAAAATATACCTATAGCTAACTAAATGCTAAATTGGCATTCTATATAATGTTATATAAATGAACTATCAGATAAGTAGTTTCGGAAAATTAAGTAACAACTATGTAAAACTAATATAACTTTATAAAATTACCAGATAGATTTTTTTAAAATCTTTTAGATAAAAAGTTATAATTATTTAAAAATTTAAAACACTTCATATAACTGTTAAATATAGGTTTTCAATATCATATTATATTCAATTGTTATTTTTTTTTTTTTTTTTTTTTTTAAAAAAGTGAGGTCTTGTCTTGATTTCTTTATTGATTATTAATATCTAAATACATT